AGTTTTAAGATAGGAACTATTTTTGCCTTTCTTTGTATCCATAGTGCATGACACATAGTAGGTAGTTAATAAATGCTTTTTAACATGGTGACTTGAGGGCAGGGAATGTTTTTCTTCCTGTGCTTAGGATAAGGTTTTGTACATAGCTGGGACTTAGGAAATATTTATTGAATTCAATTGACATGAGTTCAGTGCCTCACATATATTACTCACTGATCCCCACTACTTTTTGGTAAGTAGTTCAATTCAGCCAACAAATCTCTCTTAAAGCTTTTGACAAAATACAATACCCATTCTTTATTAAAAACACTAGAAAACATATGAGTAAATGGAGCTTTCCTTAAAATGACAAGTAGTATCTCTCTAAAACCATCAGCAAGCATTATCTATAATGGGGATAAGCTAGAAGCCTTTCTAATAAGATCAGGGTGAAGCAAGAATGCCATTATCACCACTGCTATTCATTATTATTCTCAAAATGCTAGCTATAACAATAAGAAGAGGAAAAGAAATTGAAGGAATTAGAATAGGCAATGAGGAAAAAAAAACTATCATTCTTTGCAGATGATTTGATGATATACTTAGAGAATCAACTAAAAAACTAGTTGAAATAATACTTTCAACAAAGCTATAGGATATAAAATAAACCCACATAAATCATTAGCATTTCTATACATTACCAACAAAATCCAATAGAGATAGAAAAAGAAATTCCATTTAAAATAACTTGGGAGTCTACCTGCCAAGACAAACCCAGAAACTGGGTTGTATATGACCACAATTAGAAAACACTTCACACAAATAAAGTCAAATCTAAACAACTGGAGATATATTAATTGTTCATGGGTAGGCCAAACCAATATAATAAAGATAAGAATTCTACCTAAATTAATTTACTTATTCAGTGCCACACCAATCAAATTACCAAAAAATTGTTTTATAGAGCTAGAAAAAAATAATAACAAACTACATCTGGAAGAACAAAAGTTTAAGAATTTCAAGGGAATTATTTTTATCATTACATCAAAGTCAACTTATACCCACCCCCTTTTTGTAGACCCCTTTAAAATGATGTAATAACAATATAGTCCTCAAGAGTTACAAGTGTCATCTTCCCTTGTAGGGATGTAAACAGTTTGCCCTTATTAATAACATGGTTTTTTTTTTCTGTCCTATTTACCTTTTTAGGTCTCTCTTGAGTCTTGTATTTGAAGATCAAATTTTCGGTTGAGGTCTGGTCTTTTTATCAGGAAGGTTTGGAAGTCCCTTATTTCATTGAATGTCCATCTCCTCCCCTGAAAGATCATGCTCATTTTCTCTGGGTAGTTGATCCTTGGTTGTAATCCAGGCTCCTTTGCCTTACGGAATATTGTACTCCACACCCTACGATCTTTTAATGTAGAAGCTACAAGGTCCTGTGTAATCCTGACTATGGTTCCATGGCATTTAAATTGTTTCTTTTTGGCTACTTGCAGTATTTTCTCTTTGAGCTGGCAATTTTGGATTTTGGCTACTATATTCCTTGGTGTTTTCAATTTGAGATCTATTTTAGGAGGTGATTGGTGGATTCTTTCTATGGCTATTTTATCCTCTGGTTCTAGGACTTCAGGGCCGTTTTTCTTGGTGATTTCTCGAAAGATGCTGCCCAGGCTCTTTTTTTTCATTGTGATTTTGAAGTAGACCAATAATTTTTAAATTGTCTCTTCTGGATCTATTTTCCAGGTCAGTTGTTTTACCAATGAGATATTTTATGTTTTCATCTATTTTTCATTCTTTTGTTTCTATTTGACTGATTCTTGCTCTCTCATAGAGTCATTAGCTTCCATTTGCCCAATTCTAATTTTTAACAAATTGTTTTCTTCTATTAGATTTTGTACCTTCTTTTCCATTTGGCCCATTTTATTTTTTAAGGAGTTCTTCTCCTCAGTGAGTTTTTGTGTCTCCTTTTCTGTTTGGCCAATTCTGCTTTTTAAGGAGTTGTTTTCTTCAGTGTACTTTTTTCCATTTGGCCAATTGTATTTTTAAGGACTTGTTTTCTACAGTTAATTTTTTTGTCCTTCCTTTTCCAAGCTATTGACTGTGTCTTGCATACCTCTCATTTCTTTTCCCAATTTTTTTTCTACCTCTCTTATTTGACTTCTTGAGCTCTTCCAAGAAGGCTTTTTGGGCTTCAGACTAGTTCATAATCCCTTTTGAGGTTCCAGATGTGGGTTTGTTGACAGTGTTGTCCTCTTCAGAATTTCTGCCTTGATCTTCACTGTTCCCATAACAAGAATCTATAGTATGTTTCTTTTTGCTCATGGTGTTTGCTTATTTCCTGGCCTTTAAAAAAAATGAGCTCTCCTGCTGGAGACGAGAGGGCACTGACCCAAGCTTCTTGTGTTGGGAGCCTGGGGCTTAGTCACTAACTTTGTGTTCTGGGGCCTCAACTGCTGGCAGTTGGGGGCTGTAGGATTCTGGCAGGTTACCTGGTGTTGGGCTGGAATCAGCAACACTGGAACTCTAGGGGTAGGATTGGGTAGTCTGGCCCCTGGAGGTTGCCTGCTCCCCCAGGCCTTTCCCTTCTTTTGCTTTCTTTGGCTCCTTTCAGATGGATGTTTCGCTGCTGTGGGTTGTTTCCCTGCCTGGGGCCCTTGGAGCACTTCCCAGAGTTTTGCTGAGGCATGTGGTGATTTTATGAGCTGGTTTCCACTGGTTCCTCTGCCTGTACTGAGGCACTTGGGGGTCCTGGTATTGCACAAACAAAATTAATGTAGCAAAATTAGAAGGAAGTCAGCAAACTGGAGGAAAAATTTACAGCAAGTTTCTCTGATAGAGGCCTTGTTTCTAAAATATATAAAGAACTATTTAAAAATTTATAAGAATATGAATCATTCTGCAGTTGCTAAATGGTCAGAGGATATGAGCAGGCACTTTTCAGAAGAAGAAATCAAAGTTATCAAAAGTCACATGAAATAATGCTCTAAATCATTATTGATTGGAGAAATGCAAATTAAAACTCTGGGGTACCACCTCACACCTATCAGGATGGCTAATATCACAAAAAATGACAAATGTTGGAGGGATTATGGTAAAATAGGGACAGTAATACATTGTTGTTGGAGTTTTGAACTGATCTAGTAATTCTGGAGAGCAATTTGGAACTATACTCCTAGAGCTATAAACCTGTGCATACCCTTTGACTCATCCACTGCATACTGGTCCATTGCCAGTCATCTTGAATTTTGTCCTTCCACTGGACTTTGATGACTCAGGAAGAGATAGTGAGGATGAGGACTTTGCACAACTGTGCTTCACTTAAATCCAATTCATGCACAAGTCAAGACATCACCGTGATGTCATTGGTCCTCTTCAAAAAGGGATGAACGACAAGCTTAAAGAGATCAAAGAAATAGAAGGGTCTATGTATACTAAAGTATTTCTAGAGTTCTTTTTGTGATGGCAAAGAATTATAAATTGAAGGGATGCCCATCAATTGGGGAATGATTGAACAAATTGTGGTATTTGATTGTGGTGGCATATTATTGCAGTATTACAAATGATGAGCATGATGCTGGAAAGACTTACATGAAAGGATGCAAAGTGAAATGAGCAGAACCAGGAGAACTTTGTACACAGTAACAGCAACATTGTGCAATGATCAACTATCATAGACTTAGCTATTCTCAGCAATACAATGATGCAAGACAATTCCGAAGGACTTATGATGAAATATACAATCCGACTCTAGAGAAAGAACTGATGGAGTCTAAATGCATACTTTAAAATTTTTATTTATTATTCTTGTTTTTGTTTTTGGTCTGCATTATTTTTTTTGCAACATGGCTAATATGAAAATGTTTTGCATGACTGCACTGTATAATCTAGGAGGCAGCTAGATGGCTAGTGAATAGAGCGCTGGGCTTGGAGTTAGGAAGACCTGAATTCAAATCCAGCCTCAGACACTTACTGTTTATGTGACCCTGGGCAAGTAGCTTGACCTCTGTTTGCCTTAATCCACTGGAGAAGGAAATGGCAAACCACTCCAGTATCTTTGCCAAGAAAACGCCATGGACAGTATGGTCCATGGAGTCACAAAGTGTTGGATACAACTAAACACCACCATCACCACCACCACATGTATATTCTGTATAAAATCACTTGCTTTCTCAAGGATGGGGAAGGGAAGGTAGGTATGGAAAGAATGTGGAACTCAAAATTTTAAAAAAAGAATGTTAAAAATTTTTGTTTGCATGTAATTAAGAAAAAAATAGAAATTAAATGTTAAAAAAAAATCTCTTAAAAAGTTATCACTCTGCTATGTGTCCTCTACTATGCTTACCATTGTAGGAGATATAAAAGAACATGTCTAGTTTCTACTCTCAAGGAATTTATAGTCTAATTATTGAGATGACTAAGATATACAAATAATTAGGCAACAATAAAATATTAAACATTATGTATTTTAAACTATAAATGTAAGGAAATTTCACAGAACACAGAGATTAGTGTGGTCTGCAATAGATAAGAAAGGCTCTATGGAGGAAATCAAGGGCTTGGATTAGTGCTTTCTGATTTAGAATATTTTTTTAAAAATTTACCATATAACTTTTTCCTGTTTTTGTTTTAGTCAGAAAATCAGGAGCTTGTTGGTGATCTCATTAAGGTGAAAAGTTTTTTTTTTCTTCACAGAAGTGCTTTTAAAGACTATCTAATTATTTTTTTTTAAATTATACTTGTCTTCATAAATTGATGATGATAATGGTTTCATTCTGAATGAAATAGGCTGTTGGGCTAAGGAAAATAATGAAACACCTTAAAATTTTTATTTGTAGTGGTTCTTGCAAAATTGCCTTCTTTAACTGGTTGGGTTGGAACACTGAAAAAGTGATTGTGTGGCTCTACAGGGTGCTCCTTATCAGTTATTTATAGCTGCTAGTAAAGCTTTATCAAAAATGAATGTAGCTTCAGGATAATTTATCGATGGACATGTTTATGGGTCTGCTTTGTTTGTTCTGCAGGATTTTCTTCATATGCTGCTGGAAGATATTTCAGAAGAAAAACGGTAAGTAGAAATGAGGGTGGGGATGGGAGCAGCTAGAATTAACTTCTTAATCAGACAGGGTCATTCTAGGCTTATCCACTCACTTCTGTCCTTTGCCTTATGATTAGATGTGGCAGAAATGCTAGGCAATGCTGTTATAGCTGTGAATTCCAGAATGTCACAATTTCCAAATAATTAAAATGATAAATGGCCTAATGGGCCACACAAAGAGGCAGGTTGCAACCTCTTACCAAGAATGACATGGGTGCAAGATACAGCATGAAAGATATCATTGAAGATAAGTATGACTGGAAAAGGAGGTAAGCCAGTCCTTTAGTTAAAAATGAGAGATAAAAGTTGGACAGCCACAGTGGCAAGTTGGTACCTCTAAGATACTAAAAGAACATGAAGGTTTCAGCCATATTGTTTAGATCATCTATGAAGGTTTAATGAACACAAATCACACAAAGCAAGAAAGTAGGGGGTGGGGAAGGTATCAAGGTATATAGCAGGGTAACACTGCTTTAGTGTTTTGTAACCTATTTTACCTGTGGTTGTATTTTATTTTATTTTAATGTTGCATAATATTTTCTTTTTCCCCAATTACATGTTAAAACATTTTTTAACATTTTTTAAAGTTCTGAGTTCCGAATTCTATACTCCCTTCCCCCCATCCTGAGACAATAAGCAATCATTGCAATATGATATAGGTTATACATGCGCAATCATGTAAAACATTTCCATATTAGTCATTTTGTACAAGAAGACTTGAATAAAAAAAAGAATGAATGAATGAAAGAAAGTGAAAAATAGCATGCTTCACTCAGTATTCAGACAATATTTTTTTCCTCTGGAGGCAGATAGCATGTTTCATCATGAATCCTTTTGGTTTGTCTTGGATTTGCTGAATATTGCTGAAAATAGCTAAGTCATTCACAGTTCATCATCATACAGTATTGCTGTTACTGTGTACAATGTTCTCCTGGTTCTGCTCACTTCACTCAGCATTAGTTCATGTTAAATCTTTCTAGGTTTTTCTGAAATCATCCTGCTTGTCATATTTCTTATAGCACAATAATATTCCATTGCAATCATATACCACAGCTTGTTCAACCATTCCCAAATTAATGGGTATCCCCTTGATTTCCAATTCTTAGCCATATGGTTGTATTTTATATGGAAGGGATCTTATATTATCTTTACTATTTTCCACTTGGGGAAAATCAAGGAATCAGTGGATAGAACACTCAGCATGCAGTCGGGAAGACCTGAGTTCAAATCCAGCCTTTTAATAGCTATTTGACCCCAGGCAACTCATTTAGCCACTATCTGCCTCAGTGTAAAATGGAGATAATAATATCACCTTTCTCCCAAGATAGTTGTGAGGATCAAATGAGATAATATTTGTAAAGCACTGAACGCAATACCTGCCTTTTCTTCCTTCCTTCCTTCCCTCCTTCTTTCCTTCCTTCCTTCCTTTCTTCCTTCCTTCCTTCTTTCCTTCCTTCCTTCCTTCCTTCCTCAATAGGCAATAAACAGGGTGAAAGTCAAGGAGTACAGGGGACCACTTACCCTACATGCCTCTAGTTTGGTGATATAAATCCGCTTATTGCATTCACCTTCTCCCCCTTGCACATACTTCAACTCAAGGATTATAGGACTGTAGAAATTTGTTTTCACTTTTCAGAAGGAAAAACAATCCAAGTGAAATTATATTAGACATAGAAATCAAGATGTGCAGTGTTTAAATAAACCCCTAGGAGAAAAAATAATGCCTAGGCAGTTTTTATTCTGGAACTGGTCAAAGTGAAACTTTATTGGGTTCCGTCAAGCTGACTGGGCTGGAAATGAAAACTGCTCCAAGAAATTGCCACAGTTCTTGGGCTGTAAGGATCATTAAATGGAAAGAAGTGTGCTTTTCTCTCTACCATAATTTTTTTTCTGCAAAAGAGCTTTTTAAGGATAAAGGGCATTCTTGAAAACTACAAAATTATTGCTGTGAATGCCTGCCATCTAGTTTAAGTGCCATTTGTGGGAAGGTGTTCTTTACTGATATCTCTCATTTCCCTCATCAAAATCAGCACTACATTTCAAACAACAGACAATTTAACCCTGTTCTTCAGATCGCTTAAGTTATAACCCAAAGGGCAGTATATAGCCTACTGCTTGGAGGCCAGTCTTTTCTATTGTTTAGAACCTGACAGCAAATGAAAATATCAGAGATGAGTCCTACCTAAAGAAAAGAGGATCCAGAAATACAAACCCCTGGACAGAAGTTCTTAACCTGGGATCCATGAGCTTGTCTTTTGATAATTATCTTTAAATAAAATTGGTTTCTTTTTAAGTCCTATCTATTTCATTTTATGCATTTAAAAACATGATTCTGCGAAGGCGCACCCATAGGCTTCACCAATCTGCCAAAGGGGTCTGCAATATATACACAAAAAAGATTAAGAACTCCTGATTAAGTAGAAACAGTTTCATTCTTATCAACTACTTATAAGATGGCAGAGAAGGATAGGAAATGTAGAAGTAGTTTAATAACATTGATCTGCCCAACTTAGCTCCTTTTTGCCTGAGGAGTAACAGTACATATCACTATATCTCTCAAAGTTCTCCTTTTGCACAGTTCTAATTGTTAGGAAGTTTTTCCATCCCTTTCTTAGATCTTCCACCCATTGCTGTTACTTGTGCCCTCAGGGGCCAAGCAGAACATGTCTGATCCTCCACATGGCGGTCCTTCACATATTTGAAAATAGCTGTTACATTTACCCAAGTAGAGAGGCAGATTGAGTCTGGAAGACCTGAGTTCAAGTTTGGCCTCAGACGCTTAATAGCTGAACAAATTACTTACCCTCTGTGCTCCTTAAAACAACTCCTAGAGTTGTTGTGAGGGCCAAATGAGATAATATTTGTAAAGTGCTTAGGACAGTGCCTGGTATATAGTAGGTGCTTAATAAATGCTTATTTCCTTACTTCACAAAACTTCTCTCTTCCAAGATAAACATTCCAATCCTCATATATGTCATGGTTTCTAGCCTCCTTTATATTTACAATTTACAGTTTTACATCTCCCTCCATCTTCCTCTGGATAAACTCTTGTCTGATAATGTGCCTAAAATGGGGGATCCAGAATTGAATGCCGCATGACTCAGGATACAGAAGCCCTATAACAACCAAACTGCTAGTAGCAAAACTTTTGTTTCCTAATGTTAAAAGGAGGAAACTCTGACATATCAAATTTTTCTTTGAGTTGAAATGTAAGAATGAATTTATCTTTCTTCCTCCCAACCCAAAGCTGAAGCTGTGCTTTTTTAAAAAATGTGTACTAGATTGCCAAATGCACTAAAGGGTTCTTTCCTAGATGAATAACAGATCAAATCAATATCCAGACAGATACCTGAGTTTTAATGTAACTATTTCAATCATAGATAATCCAAATTTGGCTTCTTTCAAGGAGGTTTGTGTTAAATTGTCCTTGAAGCCTTCACTAAACATTCCCCCCATCCTTTACCCCACTCTCCAGGTGATGGCATTGTTTCTCTGCTCAAATTTTCCTAAAGTACATTCTCAGAGTGTCTTTTGCCCCTGTAACATCCTATGTGATACATTACAAATTGTATTCACATATACTATTGTAAGCTCCTTGAGGGTAAGGGTTGTGCCATTTTTCATATTTTAATTCAATAAACTTGGTATCATTATCAAACTTTGCTCATAGTCAGGGGTGAATTCAGTTGAATTATTAGAGCTATGCTGCAATAGACAAGAAAAAGGAGATGAATGAAAAGATGTAATGATCACTTAACAGTTAAATGATGACATTTTTTTCCTGTGTATTGAGCTTATTTCTAATCCTTTTTACTTAAAAAAATTCCAATGGCATTCTAGTTTCAGTAATAACAAGTAATTTTCCTAATGTAGGTGGCAAAAATAATATTTAAAACAAGACAGGCTAGTTCATCTCCCTGGAACTAATACAAGCAGTTCATTCAGATAAATTGTTTTGTTTCTAGTTTTCCATTTCACCCTCTTAATGTTGAAGGAAATTACATTTCATGAAAAAACTGATATGGACCTTGGCTATGCCTTAGCTTTTTCAGGAGGCTGCTATAAAAAAAAAAAAAGTGCAGCTTTCTCTGCACTCATACACCCTTCTGGAATGTCCAGGGGCAGGATTTCAGATTTACAGTGGTTGATTTTCAAAGTTGGTATGTGGTTTGCTGTTTGCCTAATGCCAAACTCATATCAGGTGTGAAGGGTATTAGTGATACCAAGCACAACAATTTAACTGCAAGGGTTTGTTTTTTTATTTCATACCTGAACCAGATCTGATTCTTGATCCACTAATAGAATAGGTCCATTGCCCCAGAAACTGTTGCCAAAAAAGTACAGAGTGGATGCATTTTCTAGAGCAGAGGTATATTGGCATGTGTTTAACAATAATTTCTCTGGGGAAAAACATGTACACAGAAATCTTCTCTTGCAAGCCTGTTTGAGCTAGATCCATCACACTCCTGCCCTGGAGAATCTCTTGTCTCCATGAGAAGACTTACTGTTGATCAGAGTTCTGAAGCGGCACCCAGGTCTCTTTTTCTGTTACAGTTGTTTATTTAGGAGGCAGCATGACACAGGACTTGGAGTCTGAAGACATAAGTTTGAAACCAGTAGCCATGTGATGCTAATCAAGTCATTTTACTTTCTTGAGCCCTACTTTTCTCATATGCGCAATGGGAGTAGTCATATTTGCACCATGGTAGTAGTTATACTTGTACAAAACAAAGTTAGCGTAAGTAAAACACTTTATAAGCCTTAAAGCACTGTGTAAGTGAAAACTATGTTTGTTTATTTATTTGTTTGTTTTTTCAAGAAAAAAATTTGAGACTTTCAAGACTCAAATACAACACTTTCCACTGAGATAGTAAAGTGTCAATTCAGTATTGGGAGGTTTTCTTTTTCATTCTTAACATATAGTCCCTTATTGCCAAAGATGTTTATAGGAAGTGTAGTTTTTCCAAGCT